GAGTTTTTATTAAGGGGAAAGCTAACAGTACTGCAGTGTGATCACAGTAAGTGCCAAATCCACATGATTAATACTTTTCCGTAGATTATTGTGCAGAAAAATATACTCTGACATCCACTTTGTATTGAAATTCCAGAATGGGCATTTCATCAAGGTGAACAAATCTACTGCAAACAAATAGCTATTAGTATTTCTTGCGTAAAAGCTGAAATCACTTCCCCCCCACCCACCCACCACCCTGTGGCTATTATGGCAATGTTATTAGAAATTAGCCCATGAAAATATAGAATAGTCAAAAATGTACTGTTGAGACTCTGTCCATCCTAATGTGACAAAATGTGTACAGCTAAAGAAAAAAAAATAACCCTTACTTACTGCTATTTTTGTGCTAGTATTATAACATCTTGATGTCCCTACCAAAGGATACGGGCCAGTTTGCTCACCTCTGTTTTTAGGTAGCATGTCTTTAAAACAGTTTATATGGTAGGTAGTCAAAGGTAAGAGGAACAAAAGTATCACTGTATCCATTTTGCAGAGGCAGGTTGGAGAAATGAGGTAGAAAGGATAAGTGAAGCACAAAAAGAGTTGAGGTGCAACAACTTGGTGTAAGTGGTGCCAGCGTTTTGGCTGTTTCCTGTGATGATCCCGGGTATCCCAACCAACATGAAGCCCATGATAGGGCTGAGCTCTCAACACCATCTTGACGCCATCTCCAGATTCACAGTGGGAGCCCTTAGTCTCAAAACTACCCTTTTTTTCCCTTTTCTAAATGAAAACCTAGAGATTGGTGTGGTGGATACATAAAAGTCCAATTAAGCATAAGAAAACACTTTTTTCACTGTCAGGGTGGTCAAACACTGGAACAGGTTGACCAAGAGGTTGTGGAGTCTCCATCTGTGGAGACATTTACAACCCAACTGGACACAGCCCTGAGCAACCTGCTCCAGGTGACCCTGCTAGAGCAGGGGGTTGGAATAGATGATCTCCAGAGGTCCCTGCCAGCCACAGCCATTCTGTGGAGTTTTGAACTGAAATTAGTAAAGGAGAACTAAATGTGTGGTATGGCCAAGGGAACGATAGTTTCTCAGTTTGAGAGAGTAATTTCCGGAACAGTAAGCTGCTGCTTACAAAAATATATCCAGCCATGATGGATATCATCACAACTTGCAACTGTTTTTAGTCAGTGGGACTTGTGTAATTTTTGAAGTTCAGGGGGTTTTTTTGAATAGAATAAATGTTTTCTTGTTAGTTTGTGCTTGACTCTGGTACAATATTCTGCTTATGTTTCTGAGCCATTTGCGTTAGGGGACTGCAATAAATCTAGTAGCCATTGCCTGTTCAGCGGGTGAAAACTGAGCGTATTGATTTTAATTCCATTGTAAGAAAACAAGAGAATTCTCTGCCAGTTAGCTCACAGAGCTGGTTCCACTGAGTGTATAATTTTCTTCTTTGATATGTTACTGTCAGAAATATGCTACCATCTCACCAGATTCTTGTTGTTTAAGAAATGCTTTATTTGTTTCTTTTGTGTGATTTGTCAGACATAATTTTTGCCTGACCTTACTAAAGGTTCATCGCTTATTGTGTTTCACAAATTTTTTTCAAATTATTGAGCAGGTTTCACTAATGACAGTTCAAATCAACCAACATCCCTCAGCAAGCAAGGAGCAAATTAATCGGGGCAAATGCCTTTCTCCTGATATAATTCCATGTAGGTTTGAAGGAAAATGCTCTAAATAAAAGAGAGAAGTTAAGGAGAATACCACTTCAATCATTTTGGAGTCAATTTTGCCTCTCAAAATATCAAGGAACAATTTGTGTGCACTGATGAACTCTTGTCATGTGCCACAGAAAACTTACTGCCTAAAAAAAGCAGAAAATTGAAGTTTCTGACTAGAAAGGACTAAAGAGCATAAGTCTGTAGAAGAGAAGAAGGAGAAACATCCAAAAGTATTTATTACGGTGTAAATAATGCTGTTTTATTAAGGTTCATTTCAATTTCGCATTTTATAATTTTACAGATATCTTATGTGGAATAAGTGGTCATACCAATATGGAAATTGTTTGCTGTTTTCCTTTTGAACAGGAGATTACATGCCCTCACAATGGGCTTTTCTGATTATTCTGAACAGAAAATGTAGAACAGTGAAATATCTGTATCTACAGTAATTCCTGTTTAGTTTTGCAACTCAGTTTTGAAAATATTGATGTTAAGGGGAGATTATTATGTTGCTTTAGGAGAGTCAAAGTGAGATTTCTAAGGTCTTGTAGCAGATCTGAGCATACACTTTAGGGCAGTGTTGCCCAACCACTGCAAAAAAGTAAAATAAAATATTAGAGTTCATTTCACGAGTGTATACCTAAAAAAGGAAGACAATAAGCGCCTTTTTGAGTGATCTCTGATTCTTTTTCACATTAGAAACATATCTTCTTTAGGTATTTATGTGCTTTCAATCTCCATACTGCCTGAGCAACTTGTAATTTTTACTGTATTCATCCTTAAGATTGTCAGACAGAATAAGAAAAAATATAGTTTCATCTCTTCCTTCTCCCAGATGGCAAGCAAGGAAATGAGCTGCTTGCTTGAAAGAAAAATCCATGGTAAAGCAAGGATCTGAACCTGGGTCTCATGCAAAACAGTCTAGCATCCTAACTGGGGTACATTATTGTTCTCTATAATGAGAAAGCTTCGGCTTTAGAAATTATGAGTGATGGTTTATGCTTTGTAACTGTCTGTTTTATTTTGCAGCTTTTTTTTTTTTTTAAACTTTGCTAACATCAACTGACTGTCAAGTAAGTACCATGGTATGCACATAGTTATCATCTACATATTTAGAGGGAGCCTTTAGCAGAAAAGAACCCCTTTGTGCTACTGCAATATCTTAATTATGTACTATGTTATATTGTAGTTAGTTGTATTCTGTTCTCTCAAAATTCTATAATACGCATATTATATGGGTTTTGGAACCAATGCAATAATGTTGAAGTGGCAATCAACATTGCCTCTAAATATTCATGCCAATAAATGACTCCCATGTGTTTGCTGAATACCAAGGATAGTCTGAAGCATTTATTTAGCATTCTAGTGGGATCTAGTTTCTGTGAAGTTCATGTTGATGCAGAATTTCATTATTGCTATTTTGTGGGGGGAGGGAGAAAACATGTTTGATTTTTCATGAGCAATGGGGCAGGTTGCTTAGAAGAAAGCAATCCTGTGAGTCACAATCTGTGTTTAATATTGCCTGAGAGCCCTGGGAAGTTGTCAAATATTTTTTATTCTAACAAAATTACAATTTTGTTTAGTCTAAACAGTCTCCTCATAATTTCACTTTTTAATAAACATTTACAATTTTCCAAATCATTGTAAAATCGTTGCATTTCATGGGTGGGGTGCTCTGAAAGTCATGCAGACCAAGTTTCCATCAAGGCACTGCTGTAACAATTACGGATTTAGGCACATTTCTCAATAACTCAGTTAAATACTAAATCCCTAAAATTTGAGTGCTTCAGTTCTGTGATTGGCTGAATATATAGAGGAGCAACTGATTTATTGAGCTATTTTCAGAGTTTCAAAACAAGGAATTACTGTCTAGCAATCCAGTAAGTTTGTTTAATGAACTGTAAGTTGAGTGTAAACAGTCTTAAAATATATGGGAGTTCAGACTTTTGGATTAAGAGTAACTAGCATATCATAAACTGTGCTTTCGCATTTGAAGTACTGCTCTCAAGAGCTCTTGTAGGTATAGTGGCCCTTCCAGAAAGCAAGGGTTTGAGCTTCCACTTCCTTCTGCCTCAGAGCTACTTGTTCAGCTCTATGCCCAGACCTTTCTGATGATCTTTCAGATCTTCCAAAAAATAGTGAATTTAGCCTCAGATACTTGTGATAAAAAGGAACTTTTTTGACAATCAGGGGAATGGTTATATGAAGATTGCGCACAGTCGTGTTAGTGTTGAAAATGAAATCCAGATGTCCTGATTCCTGCTCCCATGCTGGAATGGAACTGGGATTTCTCTGTGCTCAACAGTTGAGGGCTTGTTTAGAAAATTCTCCTAAATACTTGTATATGTGCAAATACTTCCTCTATTGTTCTCACAAAGATACTTGAGACTGTTGCCGACTATATTTCCAACTGCTCCAACACCATTTATTTGTTTAGCTAAAACCTAATTACTCCCTTGAGAAGTTACAAAATACATATTAAAATATGTAGCTATTTATTGAGAAGAACTAATTCAGCATCACTGTACTTTCTGTTTAGTTTCTGTGATGGTTTTAGATCTGCGTTGCATGTGCATTTCTACGTGCAAAGTATTTAGCGTGCTTAACCTTAATGGAACGAGTATTTATGTTAGAGCCACACTGCTGACTGTGATCACAGTGCTACTGATCTCCTATTTATGCAGGAGGTACTAGCTGTGTATGTGAATATCTCAAAATGAAAGCGGTCATGCAATGCCCAAGACTTATTACCTGTACCTCGTTTAAAGAAGAATACTACAGCAAGGTTGAGCATTGATAAGAGACTATATTAGTATTTAGACCTAGTTATGCTGTCATATGGAGAAGAAAAAGAGAAAATTCAAAATCATATTGAAGAGGTTTCCTGAACATGATGTGGACTGCGTTACTATGCTTATCTTCACAAACAAGACGCACTTTGTGGAGAGTTGCAAGTGATACAGTTGCTTAAAGGTGCAGTTTGGTGTCCTGAAGACGTAGGTGTGATACCCCGTAGCGCTGTGCCGTCTCTTGCCGTTTGTTAAGACTGCGCTGCATATGAAGAGCAGTCGATTCTCCGCAAACACCGCAAACGATTCTCCGCCTTCTCTTTGTAGCTGCTTGCTCCTTCCAAGCAGGGGCTTGATTCTGCAACAGAGAAAGTTTGTTTGGCTCCCTGCCAGGCAGGGGCATGCAGGGATCCTCAGCACATCGCAGCAGGGTGGGCTTTCCATGGATGTTATTGGATTTAGGCTCAGCCAACTTTGTTTTCCTTTTTCAGAATCACCCAGCGCTGCTGGAGTTTGTGATAGAAGCTGAAAGTGAGCATCTAGTCATCAACCTGGAGCGAAATGAGTAAGTGTATTTGTTGCATGTTCAGTTTAAACTGGAGGATCTTAACAGAGGGGTTAAAATTCTAAAATCGATAGTTTAAAAATAACCTGTGGCCAAATGTCCTACCTGGCACTTACAGAACAGGCCCCTGACAAGAGTATTTTATTCCCATTTGCATTGCAAATATTTGAACTCTGCTTATAGAGCAAGAATTCTTATATATGTCTGTTTTTACATAGTACTGAAAGTGGAAATATTGCCTCTTTGTGTTTTCTTGTCATCTTTATTTTTATTTGGTTTCGATTTGTCCTTCTTTCCTGCAGTAATCCCTTTTATTTACAGTAACATGGAAAATCCCACAGATTTTGGAACGTTTTTTGGAGGACTCATTCCTCCCTGGCATTCCCTGCTGCCGTAGGTTGCTTCCTCACAGCAGCAGTCAGTGTCCACTGAGGGAGTATGAGTCAAGAACTTGGGTTTAACCCTGCCGGACTTTTAAATGGGAGTTCTGTGGATTTGTTGGCAAGGAGTTGATGATGGGATGTTTACACTGTTAATGAGATCAATGATCAAAGCAGAACTTGAGCCCTTGTTTGTGGACTATAAATACTGCATCATCTTCCATGTGCTCTGGCATGTCTCTTGACAACTCCCATCCATGTCTGGAAGCTTTCAGATACAGGATGCTGGTGAATGCCTCCTCCTGTGCATGGCAGGGAAGATAACTTGGGCAGAAACTCCAGCCACAAGCATCTGAGATGCAGAGCTGTTAGTGGCCACCCTCCAGCTGGGATTGCTGGCTGGCTAGGGGGAGCATTCCTCCTCGGTTAGCCACAGCCAGGTGGTGAGGTATGTTGTCCTCCCTGGCCATAGGAGGAAGTCCGTTTACCCCCTAGTGCTATTCGTTGTCTGTAGCTGGCAGAGCTGCTTCCTAGCTCACTGTCCTCTTCAAGCAGAGGTATTTCTATAGGTCTCTTGTAATTTGGCTATATTCACCAAATCAGAAGCTTGCTAGGCTATATATAGGATACTCAACATGGCAGTAGCTGTCCCCCAGCCCTCCTTCCTGACATCATGGTATCTACCGCCTGCAAAGCCCTCTGTGATTTTCCTCGAGCAGAGTTTTTTGAGCAGTGAAAAATTTCTGTTTTAACTTGTTGTATCGTTTGTAGAAACACAGGGTTGTACTGAAGAGTTTTCTCTCCTTTCCTAGTTGTGTTTCTGATAAGCCTTCAGATGTGCAGAGCAAGTCCAGCAGGCCCTCCTTATTAAGATGAGACCAACAACTTTGTGAGAAATTCACCTTTAAGCCCTGAAGTTCAGAGGCACCCCTTCTGAACTGCTTTCCAGCTAAGTACACAGGGCAGACAAAAGGGATACAGAACCATACAGAAATGAAAACCCTTGCAAGGGATCTCTTTGGAAGTGTGTTGCAAAGCCAATAGTGGGACCAAAATCACCGAAGTCTCAGTTTACTATCTCAACTGTCCAACTACTTTCTGCTATGATTGTCTCAAGACTGTGTTCTGGGACACAGTCCCAGATCAGGACAGCTACGTGCTGCTTGCCAGAGGAAAATCAAAGATCACTCACATCCTATGGAAAAATTTTCCATAAAACATTAGCAAGGAGCAGTGTGGTTCTGTAGGATTCCCTGCTGGTGAAATAAAAGCAGCAGAGGTGCTTTTTTGTTGCAAAAGACCAAAGACAAACAGTGCAGCTCTATGTCTTAAGTTAAGAGGAGGGAATGTGCATTTGAAAGCTGGCGTCTAAAGGAGAAACGTTCATGCTGGCTTGAGCTGGTGACAGAGGACTTCAGTGGGACGCGATGGGGCACCTCTTTACTACTCCGCAGTAAAACAACAAAGAATGCTTTTTATTACCAAGCATTTGGATGAACTCTTAACATTACCCAGCTGCGACACAGAATCCAGTTCACTTTGTCATTCAGTGTTAGGCCCAGATTATGACCTTTCTTGATGTTATTTTCAGTGATTCTTAGTTGTGCATTTCCTGTCCTTGAAACAAAACACGGATGCCACATGCGTAGGTTGCTCTGTTTCTGTCGTTCATTGCAACTAGAGGAGGATTTAATTCATTTAGTAAACATGGATTTAACTTTATATTGCCTTGATCTTTGTCAAAGGGTGTGCCTTCCTTCAGGAATGTGTAGTATGCTGCAATTGAGGAAACTATTTGCATTCCATGCCAGAGATTAAAAGAACATAAAACTGCTAATACAGACACTGTTGAACATATTAAACTCTCTTGTACCTGCAGTAAACTGTTGGATTTATGTAATTCTAAGATGCAATCTCCATCTCTTTTAAAAAGATAAGTAGGATATGAAAGGATTGTAAATTATCTCTTATGAGAACCTGGGCATCTGTCTGACTAGTAAGATTTTGAGATGTTGAGCTTTGCTTCTTAAGAAATATAATATTTACCGATTATTCTGTTCTGTTTTTCTTATGAATGAAATGAGGTGTCTACAAGAAGATTTGTATTCTAGAACAAGTATGTATAATGCTAAGGACATGAAACTTCTAATTTTTACAGGAGTTTCTGGGTGGTACTGTAAAATGCTAAAATTGGCATTGGCTGTTTGGAGTTTAAAACATACAAGGCAGTTCAGGGATCTCAAACCAAATAAAAAGTTGGTCATGGTTTCGTCAAATCATTTTTCCCTTCTCTCCAGTTAGCATTGCTGACTTCGATTTTCAAAGGAAATAATGGGCTGAGTCTTATGAGTCAATACTGAAGTTGCTTAGGTTTTTGTGTGTATAGATCTATGTCCCTGCTGTTTCCGTAAATAATGCAGTGGACCCGTCTGCACAACTAGCCTGTGCTCCGCAGGGCATACAGTCCCAAGGCCTCCGTCTTTGTCTGTAGAAGCAGACAGTTGTGTTCCTTCTGCCTGTAAGGACAGCGTTAGGCATTGGGTTACTGCACGCGGAGAGGCCGCAGCACAGTGTGGTGAGAGTGGCAGCAGAGCTTGTGGCACATCCTGGGCATGTAGCATACGGCATGGACATGCTGCTGCTTTCAAGAGCTCCCAGAGGCCCATGCCGTGAAAAGGAGTATCCAGAGAGAGAAAGTGAGAGAGCACATTTGTGTGGAGCCGAGGGTGGCAAATAATGGCTAGTTACCTAGGGCTGGATCGCACCTGCGGTAGACTATGGACTGCAGAGATGTGGCGGATCTACAGACAGCTAGTGGATCTGCTCCACAGACCTGGCTCCTGCAGCCCGCCCCATCTTCCTGGCAGCGTGGCGTCCGCACAAACCATGCAGCCAAGGGCTCACCATTGTCTTGACCAGGTTTTTCATCTTGCAGAGCTGAAAGTCTCTAATTGAATGGTAGCCTGTCATCTCGGCCTTAATGAAAGGAATTAGATGATATCTTGGAAAGTGGTGACTGAACACCTTGTATCCTTTCCCCAATAATTCAGCCCTACTCTTCTAGAGAAACCCTACTTCAGCATTACAGAAACGGGGTATCAGTGCAGAAACGCAGCGCTATGCTGTACTACTCTCCCACAGTTGCAATTTCCTCATCCCTTCCTTAGGGTCCTGGATAGGACCCTAAATTTCTATAGCTGGGAAAAGCAAGAATTACAATTTATTCTCTCTTCTGCCACATTCTTGCTTGCTCTGTGATATTTTTTTTCTTGCATTGGTAAAATCAAGATTGCTAATACTTCATGTAGGCATTGACGTTAAGTTGGTGAATGCAAAAGTTTAAAATAAAACAAAAAAGACCCCCCCCAGCCCCCTTGAAAGCCTGAGTATGGAAGTAGCCATTAAACCAGCGTGCTTGAGGCAGAACTTGCTATGCTAAAAATGCATTTTTTCTTGAATAATAAGTGGCAATACTTAAGAAGCTCTGATACATATGTGCTGTTATTTAACCGTAGTTTTACCTAAAGCATTTTATTCTTTCGAGAGTGGTGGGGATGGAGGCGGAGTGGACCCCACAATTACATAATTTCTGCATTGAGTCATGCAAAAAAAAAAAAAGGATATGATTTTCTGTGCTTAGTAGAAACAGCTGCTTTGAGTAGCCAAAATGGACATTCAAGTCCATTTACTGAAAACTCTAGAGATTTTCCAAAACTAGAGTTATATTTCAAAACATGATTCAGATGCATTAGGCAGTCCCAAGTGGGGACTGATGTGTTAAACTATCTGTTATCTATGGAAATATATAATGTCAATTTGGTATTTTCTGATTTTTAGAATCAGCAAGACATGTTCATATTTTTAGGACAACATGTTACAGTTCTGGAAGGTTTATTGGTACCTAACTTCGTCTTAAAGTTTAAAATCTTCTCTATGGTTTCTAGCTGTTAAGTTTATTTGTGGGCATGTTCATAAACATTTTAGTGATCAATTTTCAGGCATTGCACATTTGTAATTGTAAAAACAGAAATATTTGCAGTGAAGTCAGTTTGTCAGTCTCAGAAAACCCACTAGCAAGCTCATTGTGCAAGCACATTTCTTAGTATGATTTAGTTCCTGAATGTGGTTGCCCTCTTGAGAACCTTAAGTTCTGTTGTACCTTAAATGTTTTAGGAACACTTGTCACTTGGAGAGATTTTCCAGAATCAGCAAATTATCTATCACTGCAAAATAAACCACCCTTCAGAGCAGCTGACTCTACTATTCGGCATGACATTAATAATTCTGATGCAGTTTCTGTTGTGCAAGGGACAGTAACATGTGCACGTGTAAATTCCTTTAAAGCTGATTGTAGCGTGTGGGCCTAGAAGGAAGTAGGTTTAATACAGTGTAAATGAAACAAAAGCCCCATAAGATTAAATCTGAATTTGAGAGTAGAATGGAATGTGACTACTGACTGTTTTTTCTGCAACTGGAAACATTTTACACTTTGTCAGAAATAGATCTATATGCAGCAAAGCACTTAAGTATTATTTTAACTTCAAACATGTGAGTAATCCAGGTAAAGTCAGAGGAATTACTTATTTTCGAAGTTAATTTCATGCTTAAGTGATTTGCTGA